GGACTGCTGGTAAGTCAACGCTCTCAGGGATCGTCGATTCTCGGAGGGAGAGACATCTAAGCGAGCGCTGTAAATGTGGGATAGAATAAAATGGCCGTTCGTAACCGCTTCGCATCTCAAACACCAGTTTTGTCAATTTATTTTGGAGGTTCGGCGTTGTCGAAAGATATCCACATGTGAGCACCTTTTATGATCAGAGTATTCAAGACTGGAAAGGAAGACCAAAATAAAGTGACGAGATCGAGAATATTTCCTTCTTCTACTCCAGATAAAGCTAGCAATCGAAGTTTCGGAAAGACGGGAATAGACCAATCTGTGATAGACTGAATTGCCCATGAGAGTTCGTAGCCCTGTGTACTTGTCTTTTTGCGAGGAATGTCCCATTGACTACGGTGACAGACCTCGTACGAGCGTAAGCGTTGGGAAGATAACAGAGAAGGTACATGCGCATTTGATGCGTGGTTCAACGATTGGGGCCTCACTCCTCAGAACGTAAGAGTCAACCTGTCGCAAACAGGCGCACCAAACAACCTAGTTCAGCCAGTCTATGTCTGTGGACTCACTGTGCCGTACATGATGATGGACAATTCAAGAAGTTAACCGCTCTAGGTATCATTGAAGGGACTAACGTCGACTAACCCTCATATGGTAATATCGTCCATGTACACTCTACAGCTTCAATTTAGGAGTAGGTCAGCTTTCCAGGAGTTCCACCGGCTTGACCCATCGTGCAAATGCAAATCTTTGTTGTGAAAGCTCACGCTCAGTCCTGCTCTTGTGAGCTTCTTTATGAGGGCATCGCGTTTCCTTGACAATACGTTGAACTCGTACTAGCAGGACCTTAACATATTAAGTTAGTTGGAAAGGAGACTCACATCGCTAAACCAGAGCTCGACGTTTTCTAGCTTATCCATCTTCCGTTTTTCCACGTGGGTCACCAGCGCAGTGAGCATGTCGAATCGCTTCCTTGACGCCGTTGCGTGAAGTGACAGTTTCTTCAGAATAGGAAAATTGAAGTTCAGCTCTTCGTCAGGTAATCGCATGGATGGCAACTCATTATGTAAGAATGAAAGCGCCGACAGGTTCACCGCTGCTGATTCGAAAGGTTTTAAGTCTTCGAATGAACCATGGAGTTCGATCGCAATGAGTTTCGGGAAAGATAGTCGGAAAGAAAATACGCTCAATAGGTTGGTGGCACGGATCGACAGGTCCCTTGTAGCCGCGATCAACAACCCTGACGATGCATCAACCTGACAATAAGATAAGCGCAAGTAATTCAGTGCGAACTCAAACTCAGGGGAACGGCTCGTGTGGACAAAGAGTTTCTCCAGGGTGAGTGATTGGAGCGAACGAAACTTAGACAGGTTTGGAAAGATGTCACACAACGACCGGCGGAGCGAAGTTGCACTGAAAAACACGTCCCTCGGCATATTAGGACCTTCAAGGTGCAGCTCAGTCAGATTGGGCAAAAGAGCGGAAACGGGCCGCGAAATATCAAGAAGGCTCAGCTCTCTTAAGCAAGTGAGAGAAAGTAGGATGGCCTCCAAATCAACATTGTCCGAGAGCGTAGACTCTCGTAGAGAAAGACATCTAAGTGATTCCTGTAACCGTGGTAGAGGATGAAATCGATATTGAGGTCCTGGGCGTGTGTCAAGAACAAGTTTCGTTAATTCTGGAGCCTCGGGTTCGTCGAAAGAAATCCATAAAGGACCGTGCTCAGAGCTTTTTATGATCAGAGTTTCCAAGGCTGGAAACCCAGACCAAAACGAAGGGACTAGGTCGAGAATATTTCCTTGCTCCAGTGCGGAAATCTCGAGTATTTGAAGCATTGGGAAGACAGGGATTGACCAATTTAGGACAAAAAGATGCTTGTGGATAGCAGGCCAGGTAAGAGTTCGTAACGCTTTGGTGGCAGACAGCGGAATGCAGCTTAAATACCTGAAGGCTCCCGTGTTACTATCCTCGTGATACATTCTGGGCCGGCGAACCACAAGATGTTGAAGTGACGAGGCAAGGTAGTCGTTAGATTCGAGAATTGAAATAAATTTTTGATAGTTGTCCGCTCGTATGTGTACTTTAGAAAATAAAATTGAGCGTAAGATGGGATAAAAGCCTTTCGAGAGTGTGAGGAGGTGGGAGAAGCACACGGATCCCACAGCGGTAAAGACATGCTGAAAAATCAGGACGACAAGTTCTGGAGGTAACGATTGAAGGTCGGCTCTCTTTGCCTTCCTCGTACTGTTAGGTTTGGTGGTTTGCGAGCGCTGCAGGAGCTGTTTTACTATCCTACTCGTAATCATGAGACTTTGGTAATTGTACTTTCCACTGCAAGTTTGCAATCGTTAGCCTACAATCCCATCAATTAAGTCAACACAGGGGCTGATTGGACCGTCAGAGGTTGAAGCCCATTCCCTCACTTGAGCATACCACCCTATGAACTTTCGCGTTGTCCAGTAACAAATTTACTAAACATTGAATGTGCATTGAAACTCACCTTGGCACTACACAATCACAGCTGAAACACGCAAACCTTTTGAACCTTTTATGTCACCTGGAATGTGCTGCCATCGATGCCCCTGCTTCGATTATTCAAGTTCCAGCTGTCTCAAAGCTTGTAACGCAGACTGTACGTACAACCTGCCTGAGTTTAATTAAGGAAGAAGGAAAACAATGCTACTCTACATGCGTGTGGCGAGTGCAGGCAGTTTTGGTTTGGTTAAACAGTCGATGCCCGATTCCTGGATCAGTGAGCTGTAAATACACGGAATATTAACGAGATCGAATTGGGTTCAAAAAGTGACAAACAGATAAAAAGATTCTCCCCAGCCGAGAGTCGAACTCGGGTCTTCTGTGTGAAAGACAGATGTCCTGACCGTTGGACTACTGAGGAATAGACATACACACAGAGCCTTCCAACGCTTAATAAAGGTAGTATCAGAAAGGAATTTTGGAGGTCCGCCGCTCCAGGAGAAGAAACTGCGAAGACGAAAGAGGGAAATGGGGGAAACTACTCAAAGCGTAATTATTTGCTTATCCCTTAGGAAGAGTGCTTATACACTCTGGTACGGAACAGGGAAGATCTCGCTCCCGTTCGCCAGACCGTCGTGCTCCTCCGCCACGCAGAGAAAGGTCCCGTTCGCGTTCACGAGAGCGACGATACCGTGACGACAGCAGACGGGATAGTAAGAGACGAGATTCAAGAGACGATAGGAAAGAAGACCGGAGGGACGGACGGGATGAAAGGAGGAGGGATTATGGCTCCTCTTCTCGGCGGGACGGGGATAGGGATAGGGATTACGGCTGGAGCTCTCGTCGTGACAGGGATTACCCGCCCCGAGGACGTGGGAGGGAGGATGATGAACCGAAGGAGGAGGAATTATCTGCTCCGAGAGCGTTCGCGCCGAAGGAGAAGCTGAAGGGCCGGAAGATGCACTTCAAAGATGCTTCCAAGACGGCGGCTCCTACGCAGGAAGAATTGGGTTAGTCATTCCCCTGAATTTCTTTACTTCCTTCATCGCGTACATCTTTTCTTTCGACGTTGCCACCCTATGCTTTCTCTCACATAGGATGGATGCTGACCAGTGCGCACAGATGATCTCCCCCCTCCTCGAGCGCCAAGTCCAGTTGACACGGCCACCGCCTTCGCTGCTGGGTTGATTGAAGTCATCGCCAACGACAGATTGGGGCGAAAAGGTACGCCACACTCTCCCTGCCCTCACTGACTATGGACACTAACCCAAAATGTCGATACAGTGCGTGTAAAGTGTTCACCTCAAGACACCGTTGGAGACCTCAAAAAGCTGATAGCGGCGCAGACGGGAAATAAAGCGGAGAAGATAGTGTTGAAGAAGTGGTACACCATCTATAAGGACCATATCACCCTGGAAGATTATGAGATTCATGATGGCATGAGTTTGGAGATGCACTGATGGCTCATATTTCCAGAAAACTTCAAACTTGTGGTGCATGTATATTACGATTACATATCTGCGCTTGAAAGTGATACGTGCCTTCTACAAACCATGACTGCTGCAGCTTTTACTCATTCAACTGATTGCTAGTCCGATCGAACGATTGATTGGATGTCCATCCCTTCCTGCATCTTTTCGACACTCAAGAACGTTCAAGTTTCACCCTCCTCGCCAAATCTCTTATTGCCTCCCTCTGTCCCCTCCCATCCTCCTCCTTCGATTCCGCCAACTTCAAAAATCCAATCTCGTCCCCCAACAGCTGACGGATGTTCCACCTCTGCTCCCTTTCCGACATCGTGTGGCGAAGAAAGCGGAGGAGCAAAGGGGGAAGTTTGTCAGGGATGGAAAGCGGTGGTGGTCCATGCCTACGTCGCATCATTTAGGCGGTGATTCAAGTTAAGGAAGGGAAGGGGTTGGATGGAGGATGGAGGATGGACACACCTCGCCAGAACATGGAGAACCTTGGCCGGCTCCCACTCTCTCCAAATGCACGGTCCGTACGTGCACTCGAACGCAATCATACCCACACCATACACCTCCCCAAACCTGTCGTACGGCTCTCCCCTGGAGCATTCGGGGGGAAGGGCATGCGGTGCGCCAGAGATGCGGGAGCGCCATGAGGTGTCCTGAGGAAGGAAGGTGGGCGGTAAGACGCTGTTCCCAAAGTCGCACAGCTGGATCCGACCGTCGTACGTTATGAGTACTTCTTCGGATTTGAGGGAGCGGTGGAGGATTTGATGGACGGTGTGTAGGTGGGAGAGTCCAAGGAGAAGACAACGCATGATATATGCAATCTGAGGGAGTCTCAGATCAACTTGCTGTATTTCGGGATCCCTGTTACCCCACTTGTATATCTTCTTTGGAGTGAGAGAGAGGCATAAAAGCGTACTGTTGAAGGATGTGGAATAGATTGCCCAGGTCGGCCATTACGCAAACTATCCATGCCTCTCCACCGTGCACGAAAGCGTCGACGAATCGGGGAACAAAAGACTCATGCCGTGGCATATCTGCGCTGAGCATTCGTAGGCAAGTGATTTCGGAGACTAGAGATATGAGGCGAGATTTAAGACGCGGGCCGGGTACACGGATGGAAAGCCGCTTGATTGCCACCACCTCGTTGGTTCCACGTTGATAGGCAGTTTGGACGACGGATGTGTTGCTGCACGATCCAACGCAGCCCCATGGAGTTGTTAGTTGGGAGAAAGGGAAGGAGCAAAGACGAACCCATTCTCAAAGTCTCCAATCTGTGCATACCCCTTCCGCTTATCCCCTTTCTCTTCCTCTTCATCTTCATGTCTCACCACTCCCATCAACGCCCTCCATAGCACCTCACATCCCTCAACCTCCATAACGTGAGGTGGGATCGAACCGTCCCAGCCCTGCCCACCAGCGATCTGAAGCTGGGTCCAGTTCGGTTGCCGTTCGTAGCTGGTTTTTGGAGTCGAGGTCGAAGAGCGGGGAGAAGTGGGGGAGGTTGGGGACGTGGGCGAGGTTATCTGAGGGGCGAGAGAAATGGACAATTGTCTTCCTCGTGTTTTCCGTTGCGGAGAGGGTATCTCGATCTTCAGTCCGCCTCTTTGGACATGAAGCACGGTATCGTTCTGGTCTGACGATGAAAGCGCCCGAGCCCATTCGTGGGGTAGTCCCTGTCACACGAACACTTTGAGGATCAGACATGAAAACAAGGGAGAGGACAAACAGTGATCTCCCCGGTGTCGGGATTCTCAGCCCCATGAATGAGAAGCGTCGCATCAGTTGGCCCAGAAATTGTCATTTTCTTTTTCCCTGACCAGTCGAACCACCAAATCCATTAGGAGTTCCGCACACGCATCACAAGGGAGGAAGAGGTGCCACGCACCAAAAAAGGGCAATCGCTTCGTGAGCGTATTCTTCCGCTCCATCCTCACTTCCCTCCACTCGGATCGTAACCACAAAACAACCAGAAAGACAAGGGGTATATATACGATGTGACCAGGGGATTCGGAACCCCGTACAAGAGGCAAGGTTGGACAAGTGAGACGATTTGAGAACAAAGGGAAAGGGAACTTGATCGCGCCCGACGATCCGGGTCATTTACAAGGAGACGAGATGCGAGCGGACGGCGGCTGCGTCCATTGTTGTGGCCGACTGCGTATCGTTGTGGAAAGTGGCGCGATGAAATCTGGGTAAGAAAAATAGTCGTTTGGGATTAGGTGGCAGTGCATTATGTGTTCAAGAGCTTCAATGTTTGAGTCTGGGCTTAACATTGAGTTCTGCAATTAGCGCACGCTAGCGTCCTTTGGTCAATACAACAATTCTGAAGGACTCCTATGACGGCCTGCTATCAACATGCAATCATTGAGCATTTTGAGGAGCCCGTAAAGAAAGTCACGTACAAAGTGTGACTTGCAGAGTTATTTCAAGAGATAAATTTGAATACGTAACCTTTGACGGAGGCTTCGTTGACCTCACTTTGAAAACGATGCCAGCCTCTTCTCTGGTCCATTGATCTTTATGAATCTACGCTACCGTTAGCCATGTTTCTGCTTGATAATTCACTTACCAAGAGTTTGGTGAAGAAATCATCAAGCCATTTGTATATCTCGGCATTTTGTACGTACACTACATCTTCGGTCGCCGCTGGAGAACTGGATTGACTGGAGGCCTGGAGGGCATTGATGGAGGACATCCACGGAACCTTGAGGTGGTAAAAGGTTCAAGCTTTAAGAATGTGCTAGTATGAGCTCAACGCATTGTCAAGGAAACGCAGTCCTCTCATTAAGAGGCTCGAGAGAATAGGGCAAAGCCTGCCAGGCAGTCAAGAAGGTATGAGATTGGGAAAGTCGATGTACTTCGAACATTTGGATTGCGGGTATGGTTGTGTAATGTGATTGTCAGTCATTTTACAGGATAATGACAGGGCCTTCGTTATTGCGTCAGCTAACCCGACTACAGTGAGGATAAATATGAGTTTGTTTCTGACCCAGAATCAACTTAGCCTCTCCAAGCAGTATTAAGCGCGACGAGGAAGTACTCACAACATTCAATTTACGAATTCAAACAACCACTCCATCTTCTCTTTCATCACGCTCTCCCAATACTTTTCAAAACCATCCCCTCTATCAAATCCATGGCCGCTGCCCTCGCCTTGAATTCTGACGAACTTGATCTTCTCTTCCGGAACCCCGACCTGTTTCAACTTCTCTGCAAAACGCTCGGATTCAGATATTTGGATTGCCGCATCTTGTTCCCCATGAAAGATGAGGGTTGGAGGAAAGGAACTGGGGATCTGGAGAAGTGGGAAAAAGCAATGAAGCTCTGAGGGGATCGTTGCCGCTTGAGTTTCAAGAGAATCGTCTTTCTGCTCTGCAAGCGCGCGGGACAGGCTGTCCGAAGATGTGAACGCGTCTGCTAAAATACCTGCCGCGAAAAGCTTTGACGTCCTGTTTCTGCCTATCAGACACTAAGCGAAGAATAGGATGGCAGGACGCACAAAGTGGTTTGGTCTGCCTCCTCTCTCTCGACCGCATTGGAACACTCTTCAACCGGAGTGTAGAACCACTTCACATCTGTCCCCGTCACTGGAGCCCGGTTGTTATCCCAAAGGTAGCGATACTCCTCTGGGAGGGAGAAAGGAGGATGGTTGTGCTGCCGCGCGCCTATGTCAAGCTCACCGTACAGATTGAGGAATCCCAGAGGAGGTGGATGTTTGGAAGCTGAAGAAAGAAGATGGAGAGTCAACTGGAGAGCGCAGTAGACACCTTCATAACATTGATCAGAGTCCAATCGGACGAGTGGAAGGAGCACAGCTCACCTGCACTTCCTCCCGTTCTTGAGCAGTAGAAAACTTAGGGCTGTCCCACTGCGAGGGAAGGAAAACTCACACGAGGAGCTTGTTCTTATCCACCCTCCCCAGTCCTCTCTTCTCCAATTCCCTTTG